TTCGCGCACCTCTTAACATCAAATATAATAATAATAATAATAATAATAATAATAATAATAATAATAATAGTAGTTATTAAAGGAGTGAGAGGTCAGGAAGGAGGGTGTTGTCCTAGCTGTCAATGTCTCATCCATTCATTTCACAGGACAAATGAAGCAAAACCCACCCCTTCCTTGCCTTTAACACCCCAGAAATTTGAGCTCCTGCTTTAAGAGTTTGCTCCCCACCCTGGCAGCAGCACACCGAGTGCCTGGCACACACCTGGATCCCCCCAAGCCAGGGCACAACCCCTCCCTGTGCTCCCCTGGCTTACCTCTCTCCTCTCAATTTCCTTCCTCCTCTCCTCCTCGCGCTGCCGCTCCAGCTCCCGCTGTTTCTCCAGCTGCTTCTCCAGCTCCAGCTGCCGCTTGCGCTCCTGCTCCTGTCGCTCGCGCTCCTTCCTCTCCTGCTCGGCCCTCTCCAGCTGGGCCAGCCGCTCCTGCTCCTTGCGCTGCTGCTCCAGCAGTGCCTGCCTGCGCTTCTCCAGCTCCAGGTTACCCCGCTCAAAGTTCTCCCGTTTCTTGTCCTCAAACGTCACTTTGTGCAGGGAAACACGGGGCCAAAGGACAGTTACGCTCTGCCACGGGCCTCGAAACAAACCAGCCACAGAAACCCGAAGGAATCCTAGCACTGTGAATCAACCTTCCAGCAGGAGAGGATGCACCTCCCCGCCAGGGATAACAGCTCCACAGGCCAGCCTGGGGTTTAGCATTAGCACTGACATTGCTGAGCCCCTCAAAGCCACATCCTCAGCAAACCAAGGAGGGAATTTCCATTCCCATTCCTCAGGCCTCCAGCTTTCTCCACAAAGCTCAGCAAGTGGGGATAATTTAGACAAACCAGCTGATCCTCCATGAGGACATGGATCTGGAATTCCTCTGTACATTTGATAATAGCAGCAGTCCAAGAGCCAACACTCCCATTAATGCAGAAAAAAAAATTCATCTGCTGACATCATCAAAAGGCCATTATGCAAATGACCAGAACTAATTTAAAGTTGCTGTTCTCATTAGATTACTCATTACTGTCAGGAAGAGAAATGGTTTAGGTTCTTGAGCAGCTGAGCCCAGGAATTCTGGATTCCTGCAGATCCACATCCTCACCACCTACTGTCCTAAAAGAACAGCCTCACTTCCAGCACACCCTCTGCAGTCCCAGGCACTGCCCCTCCTTCCCCTCCCTCCAAATGATTCTTTCACTTCCCCTTCTGATCCTTTTCATATCCTCTGTGTCCCATTCCCACAGCCCAAAGCCCAGATCTCTCTCCATTGTGTGGCCAGCTTGGGCATTTTTGGGATGCAAGGCCAGGGAAAGTCCACACTGCCTTCCACATGTGCACAGCTGGACACGTGCCCAACATCTGCTGAACCAGCTGAATTCTTCTTTTCCAGTTTGTGCCCCTTTCCAGCTGCCAATTCCCTCTTCCTTTAGCTCTTTTCCTGGAACTGCTGAAATCTGTATTAAGCCCCACACTGTTACACAGACTCCAAGGAAACTGGAAGGTCTCTGTGGGAATACTGGGATCTTTCACAGATTTGTGATCAGCCAAGCTTTGCTCCACCTAAGCCAGAGGATGAAGGCAGCAGGAATTTTTCCTTGCAATTTCCTGTGCCAGGGCTGCAAAGGGCTGCCTGTGTGGGGAGTGCAGGAGATGAGGAGCCTGAAGGCTCTT